TTCACGCTAATTAGGGCGATGACAGTACCGAATTGAGCGTCTTCACGTACAGGCAAGGATAAGGAAGTCAATGTTATCTCAGGGACGTTATCATTTTTATCCAAAATTCTCACTAAAACGGTGCAATGACCCGCCATGGGAGGATGACCTTTGTCCGTTGCGTCAACGCGGATTTTGTATAAATTTACTTGTTCAAAATCCAAATTACTCCGAATCACTATTTCTCCTGTATTTCGATCTATGCTAAAGTGGTCAATAACCATGGCTGCAACAAGGCTATTAAAAGAGTATGAAATTGCCCCATTCGCTCCTTCATCCCGATCAGAAGCATTCAGTCTGATAACTGTTGTTCCGTTGTCTGCGTTTTCGAATATTCTTACTTCGTATTCAGACTGTTCGAAAGTGGGAGCATTATCATTCACATCCAGCACTGTGACCAGCAGGTGAACAGTGCCTGTGAGCTCAGGTTTGCCGCCATCTGTGGCTGTCAGGAATAAGTTGTGTGCAGGAGCATCCTCTCTGTCCAAGGATTTCCTTAATATGAGCCCAATTTGTTTATTGTCATCACTGTTTATTTTCACATCTAGCCCAAAGTATTCGCTAGAACTGAGTTTATAGGTTAAGACGGAATTTGAGCCCACATCTGCATCTGACGCGCCCTCCAGTGGAAACACAGAATCTGGCAGCCTAGATTCGTAAATTAGCACTCTTTGTTCCTCTACCGGGAACAAGGGCGGGTTGTCGTTAATGTCCCTCACCTCTACGTCCACATGGAAAACCTGCAGTGGCCTGTCCACGATCACCTCCAGGTGGATGCTGCACTCCGCGCTCCTCCCGCACAGCTCCTCACGGTCTATCCGAGAATTCACAAACAAAATGCCATTCTGCAGATTTACCTCCAGAAGGTCCTCGTGGTTTTTGGAGGCCATCCTGAACAGGCGCGGCACCAGCTCCGCCAGCTCCAGCCCCAGATCCTGCGCGATGCGGCCCACGAAGGTGCCGTGTTTGGCCTCCTCTGGGACGGAGTAGTGGAGCTGGCCGCTCCCCACCTTCCAGGCTGCGAGGAGCAGAAACGGGAGGAGCAGACATTGCTTTCCCAATCTGTCTTCCGGGGTAAACACCATGTCAAATACCTCTTGTTTTATTTCCATTAGAAGATCTTCCGCATAAAGATAAAATACTGTAAGTTCCAGAATTTATTAATCCAATTCTTCTGCGTCCGCCATCATTCAACAGTCAGGGAATGATGCAGTAATAGAAGAAATTTGAATGGTGGCTAGCTATAACTTCATGGTAGACAGCGACATCATGCGGCTCCAAAAGGTAAGAAAATAATTCACATAACAGTGCTATACTATATATTTTTAAAATATTATCTTCTTTTCTCTACTTTTATAGTAAATCCTCCTCACGTTTGTAATTTGCACAGGCAGTGGTATCCTAGTACCCTCAGAGTAAGGGATCTAATTATTCACAGCTAAACAATTTTTCTACCAGTATTTGCAACATTAGTATTAGCCAGTTTAGCAAATTTAAGTGTTTACGAAACTACTCTTTAAATCAGAAATGTAAACTATTCTACACACTTTTAGAAAAGAAACTTACCCACATATGTCTGTCATAGGACATGCTATTATATAGTGCTCTAGGGAAAAATGTAACTTAAAATCATCAAATTTTGGTTGAATTTTTAAAGCTTTATGGATTGTTGAAGTCCATGCTTTCTTTGTTCAACAAATATCAGACGCTCTTAAGGTTCTTTTGTGTAATGATGGAAGATAAAATTCTAGAGCATATTCTTTATCGCATTTAATTTATCTGCAGCTTATATTAGGATTCTCGTTTAAAATATTTTCTTTTCATATACTTTACCACTTCAATTCTAGTGGAATTTCTACCCATTGTGCTTTGCTGGTTTTGATTCTACAGCTGTTCTTAAATGATCTCATTCTTTTCTCTCAACTTCAACCCTGTCCTATATCCTTTCCTTTAATTGTTCTCACTCACTTCCAAGTTTTGAATAAGACTTTTATTGAGGTACTTACAAATCCGTATCTTCATACCTTCTTTCTATGTTTCTAATTGTCATTTTCACCTATACATGCTGACTCCTAGAAAATAGCTTGTTAAATATCAAAACATGACCAATTATTAATAATCCCCAAATTCAAATTTTCAAATTCATATTTTTAATGACATGAGTATTTTCCATGTCACTTATATTACTTTTTAAATTACTCCTTTTCCCTGGCTTGCCTTCTTCCACATCCACCTAAGTCCATCTGTCTTTCACATGTTATCATATTTATCTTTATGAGTACAGCTTTCATTGAATTTTACTAAACCTAGAAATTCCAAGACATTTTAGAAACTTCTAGTAACCTAATATGTAATCACATATTAGGTGATCAACTTTTTGAAGGTTATTTTCAATTACTCTCCAATATGAATCTTATTTTTCTGACAATACAGACCACTTGCTCTTCCTCTTTCCCAATACCGTGTTTGTTTTAGCTGAATTTTAAAATTACATCTACATTAACCTGCAAAAATATTACCCTCACATAAAAGTCAAGGCCAAATATCAACTTCACCCTTAATTTAACCTTAATGTTATCCATTGGAAGTGATTGAACCCCTCCTTGAAAGAAAATTAGAGCCACCAATAAGACTTTTCAAATTACATGATCATCTTCACCTTACTCCGAAATTCTGATATACAGTAAAATGCCTCATAGATTATTGTAACACAAAAGCCTTTTCTTCCATGTGAAATTCTATCTTAAAATAATTAACCTGGATCTATTAAGTAGTTCTTATCACTGACTTTCTATTGCAGTTATTTTGGGCAAACAAAGCGTTCAATTTCCTAACCAAAAACAATCCCCAAAACAAGAGGTTCCTATAAAAAAGATAAACTGCACAAAATATATATAAAGACTTGATATGTAAAGAGATATATAAATAGTTTATATCACAGAATAAGATAACTTGATTTTTAAAAATTTGACCGTGGTTAACTGTAGATTTACAGAGTGATAAAAACTATTTCTCAATTTCTAGGACTTCCTCAGAGTAGCTCAGGATATTAGGAATATATAAATAGCATCATAGAAGGGTATTTATAAAATTAAATGCATATGAGAATAAAAGAAACAGACAAAGCAACAGAAAGAGGGAATTCACATTTTATCATGTAAAGTGTAGACTAGTTATTACCTATAAACCCACACTTTTCCCCTCAAAAGAGTAGAAAAACGGTTCTCATTATTTCAGATGGAGAGGACACTTGTCTAGAGTAGTCTCAAACATACAGCTTTAATAAACAACTCTTTGTAAACAACTCAACAGGGCAGTTTGTATCATGGTATATTTATTTTTTTAATCTAAAAATGAAAAGTAACAACAAGCAGTAAAATTTCCCAACCAAAATATAGCAGAATTTGCACAACTGAGGGGGTTCACAATTACTCCTCATCAATATAATAATTTAGGCTGGGCATGATGGCTCATGCCTGCAATCCCAGCACTTTGGGAGGCCAAGGCGGGTGAATCACCTGAGATTAGGAGTTCAAGACCACCCTGACCAACGTGGTGAAACCCAATCTCTAGTAAATACAAAAAATTAGCCAGTTGTGGTGGCACATGCCTGCAATCCCAGCTACTTGGGAAGATAAGGCAGGAGAATTGCTTGAATCTGGGAGGCTGAGATTGCATCATTGCACTCGTTTGGGCAACAAGAGGAAAATCCCGTCTCAAAATATCTAATATATATTAGATATATAATTTATAAATGGAAAAATACGCAAGTTTCCAAAAAATTAAATCATTGTTCTACTAAATGTTAATGTTAAGATAAGGGAAAAATAACCGATCGTATTTCTACACAATGGAACACCATAGATCCAAATAAAAGAAAAACAAATCTACTTCAGTAATGATAACTCATGATCATCAAGATATATTAGTAAATGAAAAAAGCAAGATTAAAATCAATACTCATATGTTTTTTAAGGGGGTAGGGAAGTTTATTTGCATATGATAAAAACATCTAGAAGGATACCCAAGAATGTTTTGATTTCATGAAGGAGGTGAAAGGGAAAATTTCACTGTCTTCTTTTGCACCTTTAGAACAGTAAACTATGTATATGTGTTTCCTATTCAAAAGATCAATAAAATGAAAAATGTAATTTTTAAATTACAGTTATCAAATTCATCATGGGTATACAGGTGAACTGCTTAGGCAAAGTTGAAATAAACCATATACTGCAAAAATATAATTGAAAACAGAAACTAAATTAGTGTAATAAAATAATAATTTAAATTCAACAGAAACAAAAAGGTAAAATTGGAAGGGTGATGTTAAAACATTTTTATAGGCCAGGCACTCTTGCTCAATCCTGTAATCTTAGTACTTCAGGAGGCTGAGATGGGAGCATGGCTTCAAACTAGGAGTTCAAGAACAGCCTGGGCAAAGTAGCAAGACCCCTATCTCTAGAGAAAAAAAAAAACTTTAATTTGCATGTGTATGCATGTAGTCCAGCTACTTGGGCGGCTGAGATGGGAGGATCACTTGAGTCCACGAGTTTCAGGCTTCAGTGAGCTATGAGCAGGCCACTGCAGACTGAGCAATAAAGGGTCTTTAAAAAATAATAATAAAATAAAATAAATTTTCATGGAGTCATAAACTAAGACTTTGAGAATGACTCCAAACTATGTCTTACAATTATTATCCTACATTTTTAGAGATGCGAAATTCAAATGCTAATATAAAATATAATTTTAAAAATACTTAATATCATACAAAGTTGATGAACCTATTACCCTAACAGAAAAACATCATAAAAAGCACATAGTACATGAATTAGTGCAATAATTGTGTACTACAATATTTATGTACTAGGGCGTAATTTTAAAAAAAACTGGGTGAATGTGACACTTAATATTTAAAAATTGGGAGGGAAAGTTGGATGTTACTATCAGAAAACTCACGTTGTCTGCAGAGGTGGGACCCTGAGGAAGGCTTGGACTGAAAGCCATGAGGTCCGTCTTGGGTGGGGCTTCTCCAGAGCACACCCTCTCCCTCCTCTGCTGTGAGCAGGACCAGCTCCCCACTGCGCTGGAGCACACCAGAGTGGGATTGCCCCGCGTGCACACGACCTGGGTGGGCGGCGCCGAGCACCGCAGCGCGGTGTACAGCAGCAGCGTGAGCACCAACAGGCTGGACACCGCACAGATGGCGATGATCAGGTACACGTTGACATCCACCAGGGCAGCCTCGGGACCCACAGCGCCCGCCGACGCCCGCGATGAGGCCTTCGGCGCCTGGCCACTTTCCACCAGCGACACCAGCACTGTGGCTGTGGCTGTCAGCGCGGGCTCTCCATGGTCCTTCACCAGCACCAGAAGGCGGTGGCGCGGTGCTTCGGTCTCATCCAGAGAGCGTGTTGTGCTGATCTCGCCTGTGTACAGCCCCACGCGGAACGGGATGCGCGCACTGCCAGGCGCTGGCTGCAGCTCATACGAAAGCCACGCGTTGTAGCCCGAGTCGGCGTCCACTGCGCGCACCTTCGCCACCACTTGGCCCGCACCCACCGACCACGGCACCAGCTCGCTCACTGCACCGCCGGTGCCACCCACTCGAGGCGACAGCAGGGCCGGCGCGTTGTCGTTCTCGTCCAGCACGAACACCTGCAGCGTCACATTGCTGCCCAGAGGCGGCACACCCGCGTCGCGCGCGCTCACCTGGAACTGCAGCAGCTCCAGCTCCTCGTGGTCCAGCGGCTGCAGCACGTACACTTTGCCGCTCTCCGAGTGCACCGACACGTAGCTCGACAGCGCGCGCTCGCCCACCCGCCGCT